CCCCAGAAAAACAGACGAAGTCAACCCAGAGAGGACACTGATGAGTGATCCAATAAGACACAAGCATACATTTACACCGTAACATACTTAGGGATTAAAACCTATCTAGACATTTTCTGATTTCACCTTTGAGACTCTTCTGTGAGGACGCAACCCTGCTCTCAAGTAAGTCAGTAGGAACAAAAGTTCTCTCTATGCTTTCAAGTACATGAAGACTTGTTTTGTGGAAGCCAAAATCTACACACTTTTCTGCTAAGTGTAAGGGTAACTGGAGTCCGACTTAATTTTAAGACTGAAGATACAACATCTTCATTAAGAAGTTCTAGTAAAATAAGGTTTATTCAGCTATTAAAAAGGTCCTCAAACCCCCTGCAGATTCTCCACATGCCAGTAACGTGGAAAAATGTTCACTTGTCACAGATGCTTAAAAATTTAATCAAAGCATGCCAATGCTCACATATAATGAGAGCTTTTTCCCCGTGGTGACATTGTCGGAATGAAGATTGTGGAATTACCACGTATTTTCAGATGAACTGAAAACTGCCTCTGTTTCTTGGCTGTTACATATGAAAGTATTTTTACCTTTAAGCCCAGACACTTAACTGCATTCCAAAATATGTATATGAGTAACTTTTATCCTTGGTAACTTTCATCACACAGCACAGAATGCTTTGTCTATAATGACTGTTTTCAAAGCTTCAGACTCTCTCTCTGGTCCCAGTAGCCAAGCCAGACATGCAAGTCTGAACAAGCAGTACCGGAACCAAACCTCAGGTGAGGCTAGACCCAGACACTTGGATCTCAGCTCACCTCCACCTTCTTCAAGCTTCAGACTTCTCTAAAGGGTTACCTTCAGTACAGCAAAGTACAACATGCCCATTCTCCAAGTGCCACCAATCTGAAGTCTATCCCAAATGAGCCCTTAAGGTAAATATTCATAGCAGCTACATAAACATATGCTTCACCTTTCCAAGTAGTGACCTATGCTGAGAATACAAAAGTTCTTCCACATTCACACTCTGAATTACTCTTTGGAAGCATGACATCTCACACAGATGTGGAGAAGGCAACTACAGTAGAAGAACATAGAAAGGGACAACATTTATCATCTTGTATCATCAACACTCGCACAGAAAGCAGCATTTACATGATGACATCCAGATACCATGGATTAGCCCTACTGATGGATAATTATACAACAAAATAGTCCTAAACAGAAGAAATCCATCCTCGCTTTGCATAATCACACATCAAACAAAAGCTGAGTTGTACAGTAAATGATACAAAAACTCCACTGGGTTAAGACAATGCCATTTCAACCTTTGCATTCTCTTTTCCCTGGATTTTTAGAGATTTCTCCTTTTCCGTTCATATACAAGAATTAATGTGTCACATTTATAATTAAGCTATCCCCAAATTGTGAGAAAAAATTGGGATTTGCAAACTAAATCTTCCAGAAGTCCCAATCAAATCACTGAGTAATTTGGAAGTACAGACAGCTGCAAACAAATCTAATAAACTGGAACTGCTACCTAGTCTTAAATACTCTATGTGCTGAAAGAACAGTTAAACTGATTGCAATGTATTTGTTTATACTGAAAATACGTTTCTTCACCTAGCATTCACATACATGAAATAACATTTATTTTCTAACCATGAAACCAATATGACTTTATGCATTAGAACATGCTGCAGGAACAAGAAAAGAAATTACTCTGTGCAGGAGACTGGAGAGATGCCCCCCACACACACAGGACCACAGAAACAAAGCAAGACAAGTAAAAGCATACAAAATGTTCCCAAGAGAACTAATAACTGAGAAGGAGAGGGTCACCTACTGCCCAAAGATGAGCATAAAGCTTGCGCATCTTACTGCAATCCCTGGTCACCAATACAACAGAGGAGGTCTTTGGAAACGTTAATGAAAAACACAAGTGCACTGAGCAGAAGCGAAGGCCTAGGTTCAAAATTAACACACTTCCTGCAGTCCTGACAAGCCTATTTAGGAATATTACACCGTGCACCACTTTAGCCTACTGCTTTTAAGCAATCAGTAAGTTTTAAAAGAGGTTTATAGGAAACCAACATCACATTTCACAGACAGATGGTTTATAGCTTAAGTGCTCGACTAAAACCTTCTCTTATCATTCTTTGTATACACTTGAAAGCCACTTAGCTGAAATAAATCTGTGCAAAACAACAGTAAATGACCACTAAAAAGCTTAATTATTCTGCTTTATATCTATGGTATGAAGGGGGGGAGAACCAATCTGCTTTTGAAGCTTGGTTTTAAACTAAGTGGCAAGACAAAGCTTGGTGCAGAGGACATGGTAACTGGGCATAATTCCAGGGTTTAAAAAATATCTTAGGCTTTATATCCTTTCATGCAATTCAGGTTTTTAACAAAAAAAACTTTTCTGAACCAAAATATTGATGTATCTTTGTACATCACAAAAGACCCTTTCTATTACATAACTCTAGACATGAAACACATGGTCCTTGTATTATGTGAGGCGATCTAATATCAATACCTCAGACAAGTCTGAACCATTGCTAAGCACACCCCAGAACTGGAGGCACTGAGTACGACGCCAACAACCTGTCCCAGGCTTTACTGACCCCCAGAGCACAAGGCATGCTTCCACTGCCTCAAGCTCACTTGATTTCTCCCTGAAAGTGTGGTATTAGATGAAGAAAGGCATGTTGTGAATTCCAAGCTTACTGCAGTATTCATTACTGTTCACCTACCTACAGAATACCTCTATACGTATTGAGGAGATATCTGTTGCTAGGTCCATTCATATAACTGGGAGGTGAGAAGCAGGACTCAATCTTTTTACTTCTGAAGCAGAACTATCATTTCCCAACTGAGAACAGCTGCTCTAAGTTTAGGCTGACCATACTAAATAGTCATCAGTATCAGAGAGAAAACACAGATGCTATAAAGAGCAGAACAACACTGGTAACAAAGGGAGGTAAGTGGTTTACTGCATTTTCTTCCTAAGGTGAACTTCCTGACTGCAGGCCCATAAAGCTGATCTTATGGACATAAACATCTGGTGTAGTGTTTGAAACTTTGACATTGAAAATGCCAGACAAAAATCATACATATGCAATATGCAAAAGAAACACAGCTGCTGATTTTGCCTGTTTAATTCATTATCCAACACTTTGTGCTATATCTGGTGTTGCCTGAAGTTTCTGATAAGGCTGTGATAGATAAGGTGCAGTCCAATACTTAACACATTTACAAATAAGATTAATAGATTAGCAACCAGGCAGCTGAACGAGATTTGTACACAACCCCAAGGACAATAAGGATTATAAGAGAAGTCTACGTTAACATCTCTGGCCTTGCTTGAACTGCAAGAAGACGGAGCCCACAAGAAAGGAAAGAGACAACCCATATTACCCCAAAGTCAGTCCGAATTGCTCAGCTGCCCAGGGCTCATGCTCTTCCTCTTAAACAAGCCTCCGATTTTTACACATCACTGACCCTCAAGCTCTGCTAAAGCTGAGAAGCTTGAACCTGACCTTGTACCTTGGGACTACCCTTACTGTGCTTTCAAATAAACAAACAAAATCCATCAGGAAACCATACAGGATAAAGTCATGAGCACACTATGAATTCCCTGTTTAGCTTCCTTTGCAGAAATGCTTCTGTATTAGTAAAGCTCAGCTTTGCAGTTATGTTGCTTATTTGTTGTTCAGTGAATTCAAAAACCAAATACAAGTATTAGCACAAGCTACTAGGAACTGCTACAGTTTTATATATTAAAACAATATAGTCTACCAGACAATGACAACATTCACAGACTACCCCACAGGTACAGCAAGAGGTTTGAAAAACACCCAAACAAACAGTAAACCCACACTATACACACACAAACAGGTTTATAAACTGTGAACTCCTTTTTTCCATCAATCAAACTCTTTGGGAGAGATTTTCTTTCATTAGAGACTGGCACTGTCTGATCCTTTCATATACCTATCCACAAAGAGAACTTTGTTATAGCCACCATCAATCCTGTCTCATATCTCCTATGCAATTTACTATGTGTATTTATTACAACAGAACTTCATTATAACAAACTGAAACTCTACAGCACGTCTCTGGAAGTATTCACTACAGAATGGTATATAATCCCAGCTCTGCCTCTTACTTCCCAGCTCCCTTTTAGGATAAACATGGACTACACGCACAAAGTTTCATATCCCAAAATATAGTTTATGAGAAATGTCATCTGTCAGTTTGCCTTCAGTAGCCAGCATCTCACATACTCTAAGTCAAATTACGTTCAGTCACATTAGACAAAGGAACATAGACCTAACTCAAATACTTACACTTAATGGATAATTGAGAACTGCTCCACTAACTGAGCACTTCTAATTACATTGTTGCTAGGTGGGAGAGGGAGAGTTTCTTATCTCCAGAGCTCTAATCTCCTGTATGCCACACATTGTCCTTCATGAATTGAACTGATGAGTGTACATTAATTATAAAATTCTTTTTGCAAATTAATATAGTAAAGGCTGAAAATCCAGTAATCAGGCCAATAACAGTATCGGGCAATCTGGCATTAGGTGAGCATTTATAGTAGCTAAAGAAGTAAAGGATGGTATTAATGGGAGTTTGCAATTGTGCGAAGTTTTTTTTTATACCCCAATCAGTGTTATTCCATTCTAATGGGTGCAGAATGCTACCTAAAACATGACCAACATCAACAGAATTGTTTCATTCTGTTGCACTGCTAGGCTGGAAAAAAAACAATCCAAAATTAAAGCTTTCAATCATAGAATAGTTAGGGTTGGAAAGGACCTTAAGATCATCTAGTTCCAACTCCCCCTGCCATTGGGCAGGGACACCTCACACTAAATCGTGTCACTCAAGGCTCTGTCCAACCTGGCCTTGATACTTCAGTTGAGATCACGGCTGCAACACCCAGAGAAAGCAATAAAGGTAAACCAACTACCACCATAAAGAAGAGCCAGCATCTTACCGTCAGGAGCAGCATGGGCCGTTCACTCTGCAGAGATGGGGATCTGGGAGCCTAGTGCGACACCAGGACGGCAGCTATACCAGAACAAAGCAGATCCAGAAATGGCAGCCGGGACCAACCAGCAGACCAGGAGGCACCAATGAAAACCCCGGTGATAAGGTGGGGCTGAGACAGCAAATTAAGGCAGCAGAGCCGATTCAGGCAGGCAATTGGACACAGCTGAGCTGGGGAGGAAAGAGGAGAAAGGACCAATCAATGGAGACTGCTCTCACCTGGTTCTGACCTCCACCCACCCACCTGCACAGCAGCAGAGCTGCCCCCCAGCACCCGCAGCTGCAACAGGGCCTCCCATTACAGTTATCACTAGAATGCAGACGGCTTAGCTCACTTTTCCACCTGAGCAAAATTAAGGAATGTTAAAATCCAGGCATCATGCATTGCACACACAGCTTTTGGCAAAGTAACCCTGACCTGATACAAGAAACAATACCAACAGGACCAGGAGAGGCAGCAGGGTCTGCCTTATTTTTTTGCTACTTTTATTTTTTCCTGGAAGCTAATGCAAACACTTCCCCTTACACATTTAAGAGACACTGAACTGGAAAGAATGAAGTTTCATTTTGTACCAGCAGGGCATCAGATGTTATTACATTAACTCGCTAGCCCCAACATTTCTCAGGTATTTTGAAAAGTCACATTGCATTGATTTGCAGAGATCATGGGTATCAAAAAAGTGGGAACCAGAACACACTAAACACAAAACCCAATCTGAGCCATACCGGTACCTTCATTCTTTACCACATTTTAAAGAGGAGACAACTTTTGCCAGTGATGGTGCCTGATGATCATCCCAAAGTCTCATCTTTACTCAAAAAGATGCAAGTCATTATCTCCTTTCCTCTGCCATTATCTGACTTTTAAAACTAATCCTCTTACTTGGCATAAAATCACATTTTGAATCTAAAACCACGTTATTTCAACACCCCCCACCCCAGGTTTTGTTTTGCATACATTTTTCAGAGGAAGCCGCTTTACTTCACTGAGATAATGCATCACTGAATTGCAAGCTCTATGCAGCTGTCACTCTTTGCCGAACATTGAGAAACATAAATGAACTCTGACAAGTCATTTATCTGGTAATTCAGTGTCGGTGTAATAATATCACTGGGCTTTGCGCATTATCAGTGTTAAAGCAGAACTGGAGTTAAAATGCAAATTGAAGGCACCTTCTGTGTATCAGAATAAAAATTACCATAGTTGGTGCCCATCCTGTTAATCCCTTGGGTTCTCAATTAGGAAAGAATATAATGTGTGGATAAAACCAAACGTTACATTCATTAAACCAGGAATTAAATGCTTAGCGGATTTAGTGACACCTATAGTCCCTAAAGGTCTCTAAAAGCAATACCTGAAGTTTGCTATACTGACTCAAACCCCCAGTGAGCATACATTCCCAACAGAAGAGCAGAGAGTGCAACAGCAGAAAGTACAGTATGTAGCAGAATTGAAATTCCAAGCACAGCTCCTAAATTTGCTAGTTTTACTAAGGTCACCCTGCAAGAACTGCCACAATCCTTACCTCTCTCAGTCCTTGCCTGGACACTTGGCCACATACAAACACACTGGCTGAATGGGCATTTGGAAGAGAAGCCAGTGCTTTCCCACAGCTGACAAAGAGTCTGCAGCTTAATTTAGCTCTTGCTATAACAAATCAACCCAAAACCACTGGGGTGCTTGGTTTTGTTTGGTGGGGTTTTTTTAATTCTCCTGGATATGAAGTGATTTGCAAGGATTTCCCTTCTCTCCCAAAGGGGTTTGGAAACCCTTATAGGAAACAGCAACACTGCCTCACGTTCCCCTGCTGGCTGGAGTGTTACTAGCTGATGCAACTCAAGAAGACCAAGTGGAAGCTTGTTTTGACCACTGAATCATAGAATGGTTTGGGTTGGAAGAGACCTTAAAGCTCATCCAGTTCCAACCCCCCTACCACAGGCAGGGACACCTTCCAGTAGAGCAGGTTGCTCCAAGCCCTCTCCAGCCTGGCCTTGAACGATGCCAGGGAGGGAGAAGCCACAGCTGCCTGGGCAGCCTGTTCCAGTTTAATACAATGGCACAGCACCACTGCGGTAGATCATCCAATAATGCTCCCTTCCAGGCTGAGTAAATTTCTGCTGTGCAAGATATCTGTTGTTTTGTCCCCTCTCACTCTCATTCAGGCTCCCAGATTTACAATCTAAGGTCAGAGTTATCTGAACCGTTGTCTGTTTCCCTGCGTGTTTAAGACAGGTTAGAGACAAGCATCAACTGAAATTTAAGATAGCTGGAAAAGGGCCAGTACTGATTACACTGGGGCTACACCTTAAACAAGAGAAGGAAACGGGACAGTAACATGATGTATTTTTTCTGTTATGAAGTTTTTCTGTTAGGTAGGAGGTTGAATGAGAGGTCACGTAACAGAACAAGAACCTCACTCGGGAGAAGCATGAGATAGGATTAAAACAAAGTATTAGCTGTAAGCTATCAGATTTATATACTACTGATAAGTCATCTACTTTGCATACAAAGCAAAGTCTCTCCTTGAGCTGTCCCAACTCCTCTATTATATATTAGGCTTAGATATTAAAATAATCAAGATTTATACTTTTTTTTTTAAAGCAAAATCCAGCACAGATATTTTGCTTTGTAAGCACATAAAGAACTTCTGCATGTTAAATCTGGCAATTGCTGCTAAGGTCAACAGCCAATAGATGGATTATCTTGAGAAGGCGGAGACAATCTCATAAAAGGAGAGCATGAAAACAAATTAAACTGATTTATTTTTGAAGGGAGAGTTATCAGAAGGAGACAGTGCATGAAATGACATGTAGAGGATGTAAAACAAAGCTTTTCCTCTTCCTACCTTCACATCAAAAACATCTGGCCTGCCTCCTGATGATACCTCAAAACTGATACACCAAGAAGTCCGAGTCAAAACCTAAATGCAATGCCACGGAGCAATAAGGACACGTATGAGTATCTGATGTGGGAAAATCTAACTGGATGGGTTAGCCAGCACTCCCTAGGTGTTGCTCCTCTGGAAGGATCTTGGCCACTCACACAAGCTAAGGGATAGCTGTAAATACACCAGATACCACAACATGGAAGGGCTCAAGGAAGACATCTTTTAACACAGTTATGCAGCACCAGTCCTTTGGGTGGATCTCCCTGGCTGCCTGGGCTTCAGGGCCTTCACTGGTAGGAACATGTGAAAGAAGCTGTTGAGAAGAAGCTTCACTGAGGTATACCCTTCCCTTCAGAGACAAATCTTAACTGAGGCTCTCACCTGGGACCTGTACCACAGCGCAGCAGCATCACAGCCATGAGCCTCCCGGAGTCATACCCTGTGCTCTATTACTGGCACCCTGGCCTCTCCTCAGACCTGTCACCACTGACTGGCATCGCACACTGGGGTGTGCCTGGACCTGGTACTGACCCTGACTTTCCAGCCTGGCCTCAGACCTGTCCCATCACCACAGACCTGCCTGGCAATGGGGACTCTCAGCTGAACCTGGCTGCCCTCCCCAGGGCTGGCCCTGGGCCCCAGATGGTGAGGACACTGTCCAGCTGGCTGTGTTACCATGCTGAGCTCCCAGCTTCCAGCCCTTAGTTAGCAGCTGGTCCCTTCCTTTACCCTATCATCACAGACACCTGTGTGGAGGAAAAGGAGGAAAGACAGTCTTAGCAAGATCACTATCCAACGTCAGTAACAGTCAGTTAAAGCATTCCAGCAGCCAGTAATAGTTAATTACATTTTTGAAGTGTCAGTGAAAACATTCTTCCATTTCCCCACCTTCCTAGCAGCTCTGCTCAACCTTACTCCAGTTTCAGTTCATCCTTAGGCATAAGCAGACCTGCATGGAGTAATGCAAGGGAATACCCACCAGTGCTCCTCACCCTGGGCCACGACACCTGCTCCCTCTCCTGCACAAAAGGAGCTTGTTCAACACCTGCCTGAGGTGAACTTTTGAGGTTCACTGACAAAGATTTATGTTTAATAAACTCAGGCAGCTTTTTACCCCTTTTCCAGCCTCCCTTAAAAAAACAACTCTCATGTCTTAGTTGCTACACTTGACTAATGGCCGTAATCACCCAAGGCAATTTCCCACATCCTTTTTATAAGGAAAACAAAAAATCATAGCTTCTGCCTTTCCTGTTCTCCACTTAAAAAAGTCTAACAACAATAAAGAGTTTCAAGTACACTGAAGGTACAGTTGTTTCGTGACCCAGAACTGTCCACAACCAAAGTAAGAAAACCCTTCCCCACACAAAATTTCTGACCTGTTTCACCATAGCACCTGCCCTAAAGTAAGCTGAGCTTGTGGAGAGGTTATGCACACAGAAGCTATTGACTATGTGTTATGTAGGGAGCATAAGGCTGCGCCACGCACTCTTACTCAAGTTAGCTTAAAAGAAGAAACTCATAAGCATGAAGCAGGACAATGAAGCAACAGCTGGTCCCAAGTCATCACTTGGAAAGCATCCATCCCCTGCTGCTTTCTCCTGCCCTGAACTATCACACAACAATTTCAACCTGAGGAAAACCTTACAAGCAGCAAAGCAGAGCCTGAGATATGGCACTGATAAGGGTACATACACAAGGCTATGTTTCAAGTCACCTGGAATTGTGAACAGCCATGTCAAATTCAGTCAGATTAGGCTGCTGGTGGCTGTCATTCAAAAGAAACAGTGCTTTTCAAAGCTGAAAATTAGGTGGTGGCACTCACTCCTTTGGGAATTCACTGTGTCTTGCTCCTGCTTTATGTTAGGATAAGCATCTTCTAGCCACCTGGTAGGATTTAGCTATATAACACGACTTTATTGCAAAAGCACATTGCACTGGGTGCACTGCAAAACACCCTCATTTTTGCACTTATGAATCCCACACCTAAAGCTGCTGTTTTCTTCAACTATAGGAAAATCTCAAGATAGCACTAAAATAGTCCAGTAGAAATTAAGGGCTGAGAATGAACAAACCACATCGGAAAGATCTTGGAAAG